CCTGCAGCAGCCGAGCCGCCCACCTGCAGCAGCCGAGCAGCAGTGCAGTCAAGCTGCCCTGCACCCAAGCCGCCCTGTCGCCGAGCCGCCCGGGAGCCGAGCCGCCCTGCACCCGAGCCGCCCTGTCGCCGAGCCGCCCTGCCACCGAGCCGCCCGGGAGCCGAGCCGCCCTGCCGCCGAGCCGCCCGGGAGCCGAGCCGCTGTGCACCCGAGCCGCCCGGTCGCCGTGCTGCCTTTCTGTCGAGCTGCACGACCTGCCCCGCCTGGTGAGCACAGTCCCACTGTCACTGCGTGCTCTTTCCCTACTGCTTGCACTGCTTCGCTGTCGTCGCCATGGCCACCCCTAGTGTCCTCGCTTTTGACGCTGAGGGTCGCGCCATTGATTTTGAGGTCTGGCTAGATGACCTGCAGCTGTTCTTACAGTGCGACAGAGCTGACGGCCTTTCTCTCTTTGACCTCACCTCTGGCGCCTCTCCTGCTCCTGCTGCTGATGCTGATCCCACTGTCCGCTCTCAGTGGGCCACCCGCGATGCTGCTGCACGTCTTGCTGTGCGTCGCCACCTCCCTACCTCTGAGCGCGCGCACTTTAGTCAGTACAAGAGTGCTCAGACCTTGTACGACGCTGTAGTTGCGCGCTACTCCTCCCCTGCCACTGCTGCACTGAGCCGTCTCATGCTTCCCTACCTCTTCCCTGACCTCTCTGCCTTTCCCACTGTCGCTGACCTCATTACGCACCTCCGCACTAGTGACACTCGCTACCGCGCCGCCCTTCCTGCTGAGTTCTGCGCTAAGAACCCCCCCCCCATGTACATCACTCTATACTACGTAGTCGCACGCCTCCCTGACTCCCTTCGTGTAGTCAGGGACCACTTTCTCGCAGTCTGTCCCACCACTATCACCGTAGACCTCCTCGAGAAGGCCCTCCTCTCTGCTGAGAAGAGCATAGTTGCTGTAGGGGCTTCTCGTGGTGACCCTCGCACCCCCATCTTTGAGGGGTGCTCTCCTTCCCCCTTGCTGCCCTCTGTTGCCTCTGCTGCTGCTGCCGACCTGCTTGGTCTTGAGTCGGTCCGCGCGGCGTCTGCCCCTAGTGGGAGACGTCGCTCCAGCAAGGGCAAGGGGGGCAAGGGCGCGGGTGGAGCTGGAGGGAGCGGTGGAGGTGGCGGCGGTGGCGGTGGCGGGAGTGGGGGTGGCGGCGGGAGTGGTGGTGGTGGTGGTGGTGGTGGCAGCAGCGGCGGAGACGGTGGTGGTGGCGGCGGCGGTGGTGGAGGTGGCAGCGGCGGAGGTGGAGGCGGCGGAGGTGGAGGCGGTGGAAGCGGTAGAGGCGGCGGCGGAGGAGCAGGAGGTGGTGGAGGGAGCGGAGCTGGTCGGGGTGGTACCCAGCAGCGTAGTGGCGGTGGTGGTGGCCAGCGCTCGCAGCGGCAGCAGCAGCAGCGCTCGCGGGACATCCCTCCGCCCCAGCAGCTTCGTGAGTGGTACGCTGGGCGTCAGAGGGGTGGGGGTACTGGTCCCTGCACCTACGTTCTTCGTTCCGGCAACCGCGCGGGTGAGCAGTGTGGGGGTGCTCACGCCACCCTGCGCTGCTTTGGCCGCCTGACGGACGCTTGGCGTCAGCAGTTCCCCGGGGCTAGTGAGATCCCTCGTTGGGATGAGCTCCTTAGGGCGGGTGTAGCGATCTTTGATCTTGATTATGATGCTATCCTTGCTGCTATGTATGCTGTGACTTATAGTGAGGAGAATGAGGGTTACCGGTGTTTCCAGCCCGACCCGGGCATTGGTACTGCTGCGCTAGGTGCTTGTGAGGCTGCTGCGCTAGGTGCCAGTGCGTCTGCGCTCTCAGATACTGGTGAGACTGCGCTTTCAGGTACTGAGTCGCCCTCGTCCTCCCTCACTTTCACACTTGACTCCGGAGCTTCTCGCTCCTTCTTTCGAGACCGCACTACCCTTACGCCTCTTGGCCGACCGGTTGCGGTCTCCCTTGCTGACCCTTCTGGGGGTCTTGTCCTGTCTCACTTCTCCACTGTCCTCCCGTGTCCGGCTGCCCCTTCGGGCGCCCTGTCTGGTCTGTACCTTCCCTCGTTCTCTACGAACTTGGTGAGTGGAGCGGCCCTACAGGATGCAGGGGTTCACCAGTTCACTCCTGCGAGTCAGCGGGTGACCCACTGCACGGACGCACGCACAGGCCGACACCTGGCCACCTTCTCGCGTCGGCCGGGGTCGAGTCTCTACACCCTGACCACTTCGTCTCCTCCTGTCCCTGCGTCCGGTCAGGTAGCTGCGTCAGGTCAGGTGCTTGCTGCTGCGTCCCGGCCAGGTCCTGAGTCTGCCCCCTGTTCTTGTCGCCTCCTGTCTCACGAGACGCTCCTGTGGCACCACCGTCTTGGCCACCCCTCCTTGCCCCGTCTTCGGAGCATGGCCTCCCGTGTCCTTGTCTCTGGTATTCCCCGGTCTCTCCCTCCTCCCCCCTCCGGGCCAGGACCTTCCTGTGTCCCCTGTGTCGAGGGTCGCCTCCGGGCTACTCCTCACTCCTCCCACTTCCCCCCGACAGAGGCTCCCCTGCAGACGCTTCACATGGATGTGTGGGGCCCGGCCCCCGTCCGTGGACAGGGTTACGAGCGCTACTTCCTGTTGGTGGTTGACGACTACTCGCGTTACACCACAGTCCTCCCCTTGCGCAGCAAGGGTGCGGTCACTGAGGTGCTGATCGATTAGATTCGCGAGGCTCGTCTCCAGCTCAGGAAGAGCTTCGGCTCGGACTTTCCTGTTCTGCGTCTGCACTCGGACAGAGGCGGAGAGTTCTCCTCTCGCCTTCTGCGAGACTACTGTCGTGCACGGGGGATCCGCCAGACCTTCACGCTTCCGGACTCTCCACAGCAAAATGGGATTGCTGAGCGCCGCATTGGCATGGTCATGGATGTCGCTCGTACGTCCATGATGCATGCGGCTGCCCCCCATTTTCTGTGGCCGTTTGCGGTGAGGTACGCGGCGCACCAGCTCAACCTTCACCCCCGGGTCTCTAGGCCTGCGATGTCCCCAGCCTTGCTGTGGACGGGGAAGGTTGGCGATGCGTCTGCGTTCCGTGTCTGGGGATCTCGGGCGTTTGTCCGCGACTTGTCTGCGGACAAGCTGTCCCCTCATGCGGCTCCCTGTGTCTTCCTTGGCTTCCCCACTGACGCCCCTGGGTGGCAGTTTTACCACCCCTCCTCTCGTCGTGTTCTGTCCTCCCAGGACGTCACGTTCGACGAGTCAGTCCCCTTCTACCGTCTCTTCCCCTACCGCACTCCTTCCCTCCCCCCTCCCCCGGACTTCCTTGTGCCGGTTCCCCCCCCGGTAGACCCCCTCCCCCCTCAGGTTCCTGCCCCCTCAGGTGTGTCCCAGGTAGACGCCGTTGACCCGGTCGAGGTTACTGGTGACTCTGGTGCTGCTGCGGGTGCTGAGCCTGGGGGTGCTGACTCTGGGGGTGCTGTGCGCGGGGGTGCTGAGCCTGGGGGTGCTGGGCCTGGGGGTGCTACTGCGGAGGGTGCGGAGCCAATTACGGGGGAGTGTTTTGTCCGGGAGAATATGGTAAAAGTTATTTTGACAGTTTGACATCAAGGGGGACCTTAGCCATGGTCAGCTCAGGTTGTTCGCACAGAGTTAATGCAGCGGAAATGACCTCAGATCAGAGTGAATGTAATTGACTAAAGCGATTATACGGTAACAGAAACATACAATGGTTTATGTAGGAAAACAAAGGGACACGAAGCGTCCTAACTAGCCATGTACTCTAAGCGGTACATTCCCGTAGTGCTGCTAAAGTTAACCGTGCGGGGCGGGAACCGGTTACGAACCTGTTCCCGCCAAATCCTTGGTGATGCAGCTGCCCGATGCTTCTGCCACTGACGGTCCAGATGCTCCCTATGATACGCGACATTTCTCGTATCTCTGACTGTTCGCATTCATACTCACTAGCGCTTGTCTCGATTGTTACGGGTAGGATGTACTGCACTTCTCATTTCACTTATCGTAACACCATACACGCGTCGCCCTGTTGCTTCACGATCACTTGCTATTCCCACCACCATCCTTGTCCTGCCTCCCACTAATGCTTCCCTGCCAAACCCCGAGAAGCCTTTCCAGTGCTGCTTGATTCACAGACTGCAAATTGCAATAGCCACCTGCCTTTCTCCTCCTCCATCCCCCTCGACCTGCTGCATCCTATCACTTGCCACTTCCACCGCACAATCTTTCTCCTGCCTCCCACTCACTCCCGTCTCCTCCCTGCCACACCCCAACAGCCTTTCCAGCGATGTTGGATCGATTTGTGCCTTCCGCTGCTAATTGCCGCCCCTACTGACATCCTTCTCCTCCCTGCCACACCCGAGCAGCCGTTCCAGCAGAGTTGATTGATTTGTGCCTTCTTCTGTTACTTGCTCCTCCCACCGTCATCCTTCTCCTCTCTCCCATACCCCAGCAGCCTTTCCAGTGCAGTTTGATCCATATTCTGCAGCAATCTCCTGTCATCCTCCTCCCCCTCCCCCTGCTCCACCTGTTGCATCACTTGCCACTACCACCACCATTCCTCTTCTGGCTCCCACTCATGCCCGTCTCCTCTCTCCCATACCCCAGCAGCCTTTCTAACGCTGTTTGATCCATAGTCTGCAGCAATCTCCTGTCATCCTCCTCCTCCTCCTGCTGCATCCTCGTTTTAGCCTGCTCCGCTACACTCTCTGCCAGTGCCTTTGCTGCTTCCTCCTGCCATGTGGACGGCAGCCAAATCGGCACGAGGCGAAAGAGGGATGAGGCGAAAGAGGCATGAGGCACAGAAAGAACAAGCACTCGCGTGACGTAGTAGAGACATACATTGATTTGCTTGTATCACTGCCAAGAATCCTCAAAGGTGATATCACGAACGAAAGACGAGTGACGCACAAAAAGGCAAAGCAAATAGTGTAGTGCGTGGTCGTGCTAGAAACGGGTTTCTGACGCGTGTGTGAGTGTGTTACAAGGAGACTGTTGTGTTTCTAGGCAGCCCTGCAACCTGAGTGCCATCCACCTACAAGACCAATATCCCACCACCCCACACCATCCCACCACCCCACACCATCCCACCACCCCACACCATCCCACCACCCCACACCATCCCACCACCCCACACCATCCCACCACCCCACACCATCCCACCACCCCACACCATCCCACCACCCCACACCATCCCACCACCCCACACCATCCCACCACCCCACACCATCCCACCACCCCACACCATCCCACCACCCCACACCATCCCACCACCCCACACCATCCCACCACCCCACACCATCCCACCACCCCACACCATCCCACCACCCCACACCATCCCACCACCCCCACCACCACCCACCACCCCACACCATCCCACCACCCCACACCATCCCACCACCCCACACCATCCCACCACCCCACACCATCCCACCACCCCACACCATCCCACCACCCCACACCATCCCACCACCCCACACCATCCCACCACCCCACACCATCCCACCACCCCACACCATCCCACCACCCCACACCATCCCACCACCCCACACCATCCCACCACCCCACACCATCCCACCACCCCACACCATCCCACCACCCCACACCATCCCACCACCCCACACCATCCCACCACCCCACACCATCCCACCACCCCACACCATCCCACCACCCCACACCATCCCACCACCCCACACCATCCCACCACCCCACACCATCCCACCACCCCACACCATCCCACCACCCCACACCATCCCACCACCCCACACCATCCCACCACCCCACACCATCCCACCACCCCACACCATCCCATCCCACCACCCCACACCATCCCACCACCCCACACCATCCCACCACCCCACACCATCCCACCACCCCACACCATCCCACCACCCCACACCATCCCACCACCCCACACCATCCACCACCCACACCATCCCACCACCCCACACCATCCCACCACCCCACACCATCCCACCACCCCACACCATCCCACCACCCCACACCATCCCACCACCCCACACCATCCCACCACCCCACACCATCCCACCACCCCACACCATCCCACCACCCCACACCATCCCACCACCCCACACCATCCCACCACCCCACACCATCCCACCACCCCACACCATCCCACCACCCCACACCATCCCACCACCCCACACCATCCCACCACCCCACACCATCCCACCACCCCACACCATCCCACCACCCCACACCATCCCACCACCCCACACCATCCCACCACCCCACACCATCCCACCACCCCACACCATCCCACCACCCCACACCATCCCACCACCCCACACCATCCCACCACCCCACACCATCCCACCACCCCACACCATCCCACCACCCCACACCATCCCACCACCCCACACCATCCCACCACCCCACACCATCCCACCACCCCACACCATCCCACCACCCCACACCATCCCACCACCCCACACCATCCCACCACCCCACACCATCCCACCACCCCACACCATCCCACCACCCCACACCATCCCACCACCCCACACCATCCCACCACCCCACACCATCCCACCACCCCACACCATCCCACCACCCCACACCATCCCACCACCCCACACCATCCCACCACCCCACACCATCCCACCACCCCACACCATCCCACCACCCCACACCATCCCACCACCCCACACCATCCCACCACCCCACACCATCCCACCACCCCACACCATCCCACCACCCCACACCATCCCACCACCCCACACCATCCCACCACCCCACACCATCCCACCACCCCACACCATCCCACCACCCCACACCATCCCACCACCCCACACCATCCCACCACCCCACACCATCCCACCACCCCACACCATCCCACCACCCCACACCATCCCACCACCCCACACCATCCCACCACCCCACACCATCCCACCACCCCACACCATCCCACCACCCTCACCATCCCACCACCCTCACCATCCCACCACCCCTCACCATCCCACCACCCTCACCATCCCACCACCCTCACCATCCCACCACCCTCACCATAACACCACCCCTCACCATCCCACCACCCTCACCATCACACCACCCCTCACCATCACAACACCCCACACCATCCCACCACCCCACACCATCCCACCACCCCACACCATCCCACCACCCCACACCATCCCACCACCCCTCACCATCCCACCACCCCACACCATCCCACCACCCTCACCATCCCACCACCCTCACCATCCCACCACCCTCACCATCACACCACCCCAAACTATACCCCCATCCACCCCTCACCATGCCCCCACCCACCCTCACCATGCCATCAAGCTGCTGCTTCAGCTGCTCCATTTCCCCCACCACCCGCCTCACATGCTCAATATGACCTAGTCCTCCTTACCCCCACCATACACCATTCAACTTCTCCTCACCATGCCATCGAGATGTTGCTTCAGCTGCTGCATCTCCCCCTCCACCCGCCTCACATCCTCAATATGACCTAGTCCTCCTTACCCCCACCATACACCATCCCACGACAACCGCTTACCATGCCATCGAGCTGCTGCTTCAGCTGCTGCATCTCCCCCACCATCCGATCCGCCTCACATTCTGAAGAAAAGTCAGTTTCTACCGTATTCCGCCACCCTTAATCCACTTATCACCAACCACCACTCCTCACCATGCCATCAAGCTGCTGCTTCAGCTGCTCCATCTCCCCCACCACCCGCCTCACATGCTCCAACGCTGTCTCCTCCACCACCTGCTGCTGTGCCACTCTCAAGGCCCTCAACTGGATGGGGATAGCGGGGAGAAGAGGAGGGCAGGAGGAGAAGGAGAAGAGAGTGGGATGCTGCATCTCCCCCACCACTCGCCTCACATGCTCCAGAACCGTCTCCTCCACCACCTGCTGCTGTGCCACTCTCAACGCCCTCAGCTGCGTGGAATGGGGATAAGATTGGACAAGAGGAGGGAAGGAAGAGAAGCTACAGAGAGTGAGAGGGTGTCCCCTCCTCCACCTGCTCCGTCTCCCCCACCCCACCGCTCTCCCCACATGCTCCAGAGCACTCTCCTTCACCACCTGCTGCTATGCCACGCCTCATGTGGATGGGGAAAGGAGGAACAGGCATTGGCAAGCAGAGAGTGGAAGGAGGAGAGATGGGCGCAACCAGAGGTAGATGCCGCTGCCACCCGGGGAGCTCTCAGCTGGGTGGGGCAGTGCGGAAAGAGGAAGGAGAGAAGCAACAAGAGTGAACAGGGACAGGAAGCACAACGTTAGTGAGAGGCTGTCTCCCCCACCACCTACTGCTGTGCCACGCGCAGGGCTCTCACAGCTGAGTGGGGACACTTGGGGAAGAAAGATGGGTGCGAAAAGAGTCAGCAACCAAACAATCCCCTAACCGCCCTCCACCACCTACTGCTGTGCCACGCGCAGGGCTCTCACAGCTGAGTGGGGACACTTGGGGAAGAAAGATGGGTGCGAAAAGAGTCAGCAACCAAACAATCCCCTAACCGCCCTCCACCACCTACTGCTGTGCCACGCGCAGGGCTCTCACAGCTGAGTGGGGACACTTGGGGAAGAAAGATGGGTGCGAAAAGAGTCAGCAACCAAACAATCCCCTAACCGCCCTCCACCACCTACTGCTGTGCCACGCGCAGGGCTCTCACAGCTGAGTGGGGACACTTGGGGAAGAAAGATGGGTGCGAAAAGAGTCAGCAACCAAACAATCCCCTAACCGCCCTCCACCACCTACTGCTGTGCCACGCGCAGGGCTCTCACAGCTGAGTGGGGACACTTGGGGAAGAAAGATGGGTGCGAAAAGAGTCAGCAACCAAACAATCCCCTAACCGCCCTCCACCACCTACTGCTGTGCCACGCGCAGGGCTCTCAGCTGAATGGGGAAGGGAGGAACGGGCATTGCCAAACAGAGAGCGGAAGGAGGAGAGATGGGTGCAACCAGAGTCGAGATGAGTGCAACCAGAGTCGAGATGGGTGCAACCAGAGTCGAGATGGGTGCAACCAGAGTCGAGATGGGTGCAACCAGAGTCGAGATGGGTGCAACCAGAGTCGAGATGGGTGCAACCAGAGTCGAGATGGGTGCAACCAGAGTCGAGATGGGTGCAAACAGAGTCGAGATGGGTGCAACCAGAGTCGAGATGGGTGCAACCAGAGTCGAGATGGGTGCAACCAGAGTCGAGATGGGTGCAACCAGAGTCGAGATGGGTGCAACCAGAGTCGAGATGGGTGCAACCAGAGTCGAGATGGGTGCAACCAGAGTCGAGATGGGTGCAACCAGAGTCGAGATGGGTGCAACCAGAGTCGAGATGGGTGCAAACAGAGTCAGGAACCGGATACCCCTCCTCCATCACCTGTTGCTGAGCCCTCAGCTGGGTCCTGCCGGCCTGTGAACCCATGCATCCCACAACAGCCCGGTACGGTACCCCGCGTCTCACCTTAGCGGCTTCGAACTGCAGTCGCTTGGTCTGCCGCACCAACTCCGAGTCCTGCCGGCCCGTAAAGAACACCCACGCGTCTCGCACCATGCGCAGCGCGCGAATCATCTTCGCTTGATGCGCTCAATCATTCAGGGGTGGGATGTGAGTGCACCTTCTCAAAACGGATGTGACTGGACCTTCCACCGTGCAGCACATTCACTCCTCGGGCTCCGTCCCTCGTCTAACACTCAGTGAAGGCTTCCCTACTGTCCCTCCTCCGCCCCGCTCCTCTCCTCTCCTCTACTCTCCTCTCCACTCCTCTCCTCTCCTCTCCTCGCCTCGCCTTTAACCTCGGCGTTTATTGCTTGGCTAAGATACCGCCCTTCTTGCCTGCCTCCACTTTTCCCTTTCTTTTGCCCCCCTTTCCCCACCTTCGCCAGCCTCCACTGTTCCCTCAACGGCTGTTAAGCTTAGAGCCGATTCGCTCAGAAAGGAGTTGACGGCACAGGGGAACACGAGAGAGCGGATGGGAGGAGTCGAATCTGCTTTTCCCTTCCTTTCTTCCCCCTTTCCCCACCTTCGCCAGCCTCCACTGTTCCCTCAAACGGCTGTTCCGCTTAAAGCCGATTCGTACGGAAAGGAGATGACGGCAAAGGGGAAAACGAGAGAACGGATGGGAGTCGACGTTATGAGGCGCCTCGAGAGAACGGATGCGAGCCAAGGAGGGCGGTGACGAACGACAGGGGTGGGAGGGCGTTGAAGGGCGAATGTTAACGAAATTCGCGAAACGGGGATCGGGTGGGCGAGACCGGGAGTGCTGTGCGAAACGGTGGCGAATGAATGCGAGTCGGAGAGAGCGTGATGATAGTATTTTGTGGAGATAACTGGGTGCGTGGAGGGCGGTTGAGGTGAGGAGCTAGGCGTGAGGAGCGGCGGGTGATACGGGAGCCATGTTCCCGTGAAAGAAAACACCGACCTAGCGAGCTGTAACACCGGTTCAGGAAGTATCTGTTTTCATACAATTTACAGTTCAGTAACCCGATTCTGGTATGTAACCGAACTTTACATGCTTCAATCGACCTCGGACTCGAAACAAACAGAGACTCAGTTCACAATCCAAACGTCCCAACTGGTTTCAAAACGCGACTTCAGGAAACCAAATTCGTGCGGCACATCGAAACTTGGCAAGCGAACCTGCGAGCAATACACAGCCTTCGCTCAACCAGTGTCGCCATGCACATTGTTTTGTCGCCCAGCCGCGAATTCTTTGCCCCTCTATTGCCTACGCAGTGTGGGTGGCTCGTGGGCTGTTCGTGCCATTGTTTGGCGATAGTGTGGTAACCTGGTCCGGAAAGGGGGTGGTTGAGCCGACTGTCATAGATACACGAAGATGCACCAATCAGCTCTCTTGTTGAACTGCCAATATTCCCAACCAACCTAGGTCTCCCTCCCCCCCGTGATAGTCCCTGCCTCGAAGTTCTCGAAACCCCCCTGCAAACCAAAACAAGCAAATTCTCACCAACCTTGATTTCACCATTGTTCGCTGACACATACCACCAGCAAATTTTTACCACCTTCGATTCCAGGCGCTATTTGTGCTTCGCAGACCAATTTCGGGGTTCGTACGGTCTCAGTTGTGTAGCAGTTCCCACCGCCCTGCGAGTGCACCCAGGGTTCTCACTATCGTAGATAGTGCGTTCGCCGGCGATGCGTGCGGAATCGCGGCCGCTTGCCTCGGGCCGCCGCAGATAAGCTCCCTCATTCGTTATCGTCATTTAAGACCGCACGCATTTGTTTGAAAGGACGACCGCAGGGTTCCCGCTATCGTCGTTAGTGCGCTCGCCGGCGATGCGTACGGCATCGCGGCCGCTTTTCTAGACCCGCCGCAGACGATAAGCTCCGCGTCATTCGTTATCCTCGTTTGAAGCCACAGCCGCATTCGTGCGAAACGACGACCATGGCAGGGCATTCGTCGCAGTCGTCGCAGGTGGCGGTGATGGTGGTGGTGGCGCTCGCGCTAGTGGCGGCGGGCTACTACGTGGGCAGCACGGGGCTCGCAGCCGCGCCCTCGTCACTGCTCGACTCTTTCGTTCATTCGAACAAGGCCGCCGCTGACGCCCTCACGGGTATGCTTGTGGGAGTGTGGGGGGAGGGGGGTGTAGGGGGAATCATGGGAGGAGAGAGACTGAACGAGGAAGGGGAAAGCGGTCGTTGGGTGGGAGTGCGCATGCGGCAATCGCATCCCTCTCACGCATCACGCATCATGCACACGATGCAGTGGTATCCCTCTCACGCATCTCGCATCATGCGCATGATTCAGTCATATCCCTCTCACTCATCTCGCATCATGTGCACGATGCAGTCGTATCCCTCTCACGCTGAACCTCTCGTTGCTGCTCGACTCGTTCGCCCGCTCCAACAAAGCCGCCGCTGACGGCCTCACGGGAATGCGTGGGGGGGTCGAGGGAACGGTGCGGAGAGACTGAAAAAGAGCGCGGACATGTTTGCTAGTGCAGGGAGGAGTGGTTGGGAAGAAGCGCGTGTACTGGCGCATTTGATTAGCAGTCGTAGCCTTGCCAACCCTCGATTCTTCTCTCTCCGTTTTGCTACTGATGGCCTCTCAGGCACTAGGCGGGAAGGGGAAAAAGAGAGGGAGAAGGGGGGGAGAGGAGGGGGGGGGTTGGTCTGGGGTGACTGAGCGTAAGGTTGTGTGTTAGGAGGAAGTACCGGTCACTGAAACGCTGAGCCTAGGGGTGGGATAGGTCTGACTGAATGTTACAGGGGATGGATGAGGAAGGGGGGATGTGGGCGTGCATGGAAGTGACCCGTTCGTGTTTGTCAAACGCTCATGCACGCCATTGCAGCGACTCATGCACGCCATTGCAGCGACTCATGCACGCCATTGCATTGCAGCGACTCATGCACGCCATTGCAGCGACTCATGCACACCATTGCAGCGACTCATGCACGCCATTGCAGCGACTCATGCACGCCATTGCAGCGACTCATGCACGCCATTGCAGCGACTCATGCATGCCATTGCAGCGACTCATACACGCCATTGCAACGACTCATGCACGCCATTGCAACGATTGGTGCACAACTGACATGCAAGCGCAGGTGCTCTCAACCTCAATCTTTCTGTTTTTACCTTGCTCGCCTTCCCTCCCCCTCCCATTCCCTCTCCTCTACCTCCCACCCTACCACACCCCCCCCCTCCCCCCCTCCCCCACCCCTCCTCTCCCCCTTCTCTTTCTCCCCCACCCCCACCCCCAGCTGCGCGTGAAGATAACATCTTTTTTCCTTTGTTTCTTCTCCAGGACCCTTCAGATTCCTACCCTGTCTTTGCCCGGTGTCCCACCATACTGTGTTCTTGCGCCTTCAAAGACCAGAATACTGAGAGCAGCTCAAGATTCTGTCTCTGCAGTGTCTCAACTTTCTCCGGACCTTCCTTACATATTTCGTCTTTAATTTCATTCAACTTTTCTTTTCCCTTCGCCATTTTCCCTATCGTTGCCATCAGCCCTCAGAGATGCGCAGGAAGCAGCAGATGCAGCGCATCAATGGGCAGCGCCAAATACTTGGTTGTGTGTTTCCTCTCTCAACTCTCCTCCCTTCCCTTCCCCGTCCTCCTCCATTTCGCCCCACTTCTCCTTCGCCCCAAACCCCCAGTGGCAGCGCAGGAGGAGGAGGAAGCAGCAGTGGCGGCAGCAGAGGAGGAGATTCTGAGCGAGGAGGAGGCGCTAGACGCACCGGACCCGCGGGCAGCCGTGAATGAGTCCGACCCCGCGGTGCTGCGCGTGATTGAGGAGCGGCGCCAGCGTAGGGAGGCGGCGCGGCAGAAGTACAAAGAGGAGCTGCTGGCGATGGTGAACGAGGTGAAGCAGGCGGCTGCTGCGCCGGGCGGGCTGAAGGAGGAGGAGACGGTGGCGGATGTGTCGAACGTGCCGCTGCAGTATGGTGCCACGGAGATCACTCAGCTGGGTGAAGGGGTGGGGAAGGGGGGAGGAGGTGAGAAGGCAGGGAACGCGGATGCGAAAGGGGTGACTGGGGGGCAAAGGGCTGCTGGGGGTGATTCGAGTGGGGGTGCTTCTGCGGATGTACAAGGTCCATCAACAAAGAAAAGGAGACGACTACGTTAGGTTAGGTTAAGCAGTGCTTCAGGTTGCTCAAGTCGTACGGTGGTATATTCTGTCATTCGGGACCTGCGCTATGATTTTGGTCATCCAGACCTGAGCTGGGAGTGTGAACTGATCAGTAAGTGACGAGGAGGCATGTTATACAAATACCCAGCCCTAGAAGGGGTTGTACTCTCTAAGCTCACTGGAGCCTGACATGCAAGGCGACATTTGTTTATAAAAAAAAACTCCCGTATGTACCAATACACTCTTCTTTTGTCATCAATTCAACACTACCGCATTCATCCAGACATAACACCCTAGGCTGTTAATAAGCTGAGTGAGTCACTTACTAAGCTGATGCTACTAAGCAAACATCATCCACATGGCAACGTCTCTCCTGTTGTCACGTCAGTGCGCACTTATCATGAGCCACACACCACATTCCACCCATGGTGCCAGCCAGGGGAGCTGCCACTCCAGTAGGGGTGCCTTTCATTCCTCTTCACACGTACAGCTGCTCCCCCAACCCCCTCACCACCAGCACGCGCCCCCAAGACTTGCTTTATGAGCCATGTCATGTCTCAGCACCGTGCAGGGAGAACTGCCACTCCAGTGGGGGTGCCTTCACTTCCACGTCACACGTACAGCTCAGCAGCCCCGTTCCCATGCCCTGCAGGCACAGCAGACCACTGCTTCGCCCACACGGCTCCTGCCCTCAGCAAGGCCTCCCTCACTGCCTCAAACCCTCCTTTTCTTCTCCACCACCCCCTTCCCCACCAGCACATGCTACCACAATATCCCCCATGACCCATGACATGCCTCGCACCGTGCCTGGGGAGCTGCCACTCCAGTGGCGATGCTTCCTCTTCCAAGTTCCACGTCACACGTACAGCTCAGCAGCCCCGTTCCCATGCCCTGCTGGCACGGCACTCCACTGCTTCGCCCACACGCCGCCTGCCCTCAGCAGGGCCTCCCTCACTGCCGTACCCCTCTCCTCCTCCACTCCTACTGCTGCTACGTGTTCTCCTGCTCCCCCACCCCCTTGGCCACCAGCAGCACGCACCACCACGAGTTCCCCCATGAGCCACGCCATGCCTCGCACTGTGCCTGGGGAGCCGCCACTCCAGTGGCGGTCCACGAATGAGAGCGCGACAGCTGGCGGTTGGCGCAGCTGACATTGCGAGCAGCAAGCATGAGAGTTGAAGATGAGAGGAGTACAGGTAGCGACATCACAAAAAACCTTGATTTTTGAAGGGGGTTCGAAGGGGGGTACAGTTCAGGTGTTTTGGTTGGCGAAGTTCCGAAGCCAGATCGCGACCAATCACGGAATGAATTCGGACCGCGTTTGTTTGTCGAAGTCGAAATCGAATCCGCGACTCCGGTACATTGACGGTTTTTTTAAGCTTGCCAATTTTGTTCTGAATTTGTAACTGGTTTTGTAAACTTTGACTTCCCTGAAATGTGACTGCATGAAAATATGCTGGACATTTTATTACAAGATAAATGCATCACATTTGATACTTATTAAGGAGATAGGTACTGTCTAGATGGAATGCCTTCACCACATGGACGTGGCGGAGCAGCGCTTCAATGGGAATCACGGAGTACGCGTACATTCCTGTTGTCCACTTGAGGCGAAGGCATCCTGTTGCTGTATCCTCTCCGCTTGCATTCCAATATCTAACGTAAGCCAGCTCCTCCCTCTCTCCACGTATTTTGGTATGGAACAACAGAAGCAACCTTGCATACCACTCCTCTCTCCGACCATACCTTACACCCTCCACTGCAACATCCGAGTACCATGGCTTCTCAAAATAGTCAGGGGTCGCTCGAACGAAGTGAGACACTCTTGAGAAGCTGGCGTCGTCTGCTGCAGGGATTGCCAGCGATGCATGGGCCTGCATAACAGTTGATGTTAGTCATGTATGATACGAGCCAGCCAAAATGATGGTTGATTGCATAAACTTGCAACTACTTACTCGAATCTTGGTGACGCATCCTGCATAACGCATAAGCGCATCCTTGAGGGCAGCTTGGGCACGAGGGTGTTGCTTGGCCCACTTCCTTGCAAACCAGTTGGTAGAGGTGGATTCTTGTGACAACTCCACAGGGAGGGAGTATGACTCCTTGATGAGCGTCCGTGTGTCGGTCTCAATCGCCTGCCAAGATATGCTATTGATATTATTACATTCTGCATTCATATCCATGCAATTCAAGCACTAAACAGATTTACCTGCCGCATGGCGGTGTCCCGACCGGCAGGATCATCCACCGGCACCACATCTGGAATGCGCCTAGCATGGAACTTCATGATCTGCCCATCTACATTGCGCTTGTTGGACCGACGGTAGATCCTCTTTACCAACGGTCCGTGCAAGTGCTCGAACATGTTGGTGCTGAATTCAGTCACATGACCCGCCCGACGTATGGAGTCGATGTAGTGCGACATGAGATGTGTTTTCACAAGGCACCAAGAGGATGGCTGCTTTGGAAACGCAGCCTGCAACTGCTCAACGAGCCTGATGGGAGTGGGAGATGACAACACATGCATTCACAGAGTCTACTTATTCATATGCTTTTCCTATTCCTGATCCTTTTCATCAAAGTTTAGCAGCAACATCCTCACAAGATTGCCTACTACAAGAGCACATTTACAGTAGCCAAGCATACATCCCATGCACAGGGATTTACATGCGTGATGTTATTACCGAGAGGTCATCTTCTTCAGCTCCCGGAGGGACCGCTCAGTGTGCCCCTGTGGCTGGGAGCACAGGATGTACCAGCCAAGATAGGCACGAACGGCATCCATCTGGGGCTGGCGAAGCAGACCTGCAAAAACAAACACCATGACCTGCAAAGAACGTGGATAGCAGCAAAGGGGAGGGTGAGAACAGATGGTGTGAGGAGTGGAGCATGACGGACAATGGCAGCATGAGCAGACTGCTTGAGGGTTTAGGCCAGGACAAGCAACAGGGAATGGAGGGTTCATACCTGCATGACGGCCCTGTGCTCATAGGCCGCCACACATGCGCCGGTCTCGAAGTAGGCGCTCTCCGGCAGGCGCATGTGATTCAGGCGCGTGCGGTCGCGAATGAGAGACAGGCGCCTGCCCATACACATCAGTTCAGCGGCGCCAAAAGGGCAGAAACAGGTCAGTAATAGGAGAGAACTTATGGTTTGAGTAATTGTGACCAGGAGCAACGAATCCAATCCCCAAAACACTGACCTGTCCATCTGCTTCACACGCCGCTTCTTCATCTTGCGCACGACAGCCACAATGTGGCTCATGATGCCTAGGTCCGCCTGGTGCATGATGTCAGGCATCAGCACGAGGTAGGGATTGCCCCACGCGGTCCCTGGGACATCCCACTTCCAGAGCACGCACTGGAAATGGGGATGTGGTGGGGAATGGAGGAGAGATGTACGTGAGAGTGGATAGGTAATCTAAACCACAAGTCGGGTGAGTTCAATGGGGCAGAGCACATCTGGCAATTCATGACGGGGCGGGCGAGAGCATAGACTACTCATGGGCCGGGGAAACAGGTCACTCACCTCAACAGGGTAGGTAGAGTAGGCCTTGCACGTGTTGTCCTGGCTAGTTGTCGTCCCCGCCGCCTCATTAACGATCCATTGCTGCTGTTCAGGCGTGCGCGGCGTGTTCCGTGCCTTGACAGCACTCAGATGCTCCTGTTGTAGCACGGGGCCGAGGGATGGGATAGAAAAGGCAAGGGTGGTAGCTATGTGGGTTCGCTCAGGCGAGCCACAAACGGGAATGTAATTGAATGCGTGCAGATGGCATGTGACCTCACCTTTGCAGCATAGCAGATGCTGCACGGCATCCGCGATCCATGCGAGAGTGTGCAACTGATTTTGCCGCTCTCGGGGTAGTCGCACACCCAGGCGTACAGCAGGGGCCGCACGGTTTGCCAATCTCCGAAAGGGTCTTTGAGACGGAACCCGCTGCAAGAAATGGAGTGAGTGGCAACAGGCATTGAAGGTTGCGGCTTTTAGGGAGGAACGACGAGGGGCAAAGGGCCATGCTACATACAGAGAGGGTTTGCATACCATGCAGGTGGTGAGATGATGTCTTAGCAAGATGCAAACCGAGTACGGACCTGGCGATGCCATCAAGAAGCGGCTGCAGCACGGTGATGACGCAACGCTGGAAGAGCATCACCTTCTCCACGGCAGACATTGCAGATGGGGGGATTGGAAGGAGGGCAAGTAGTGTGTGACCGGCTTTCCCCCATCGCTTGGCCTGGGCGATGTTCGCCAGCGTCATCATGAGCGGCCACGCCTTTTTCCGGCCGTTGTTGCTCATGTGCGTCACATCCGAATATAAGATGATCCCCCCCACAACTTCGGACCAACCGAAGTGTTCCTGCAGTGCACGACAAAGCGGCAACGGACACACGGTTTAACACTCAAGATGCTCTTGAGAGATCAGTGCTGCGATGGATGCATGACTCAGGATTGGGTTTGGGGTGGCAACGTGGTCTTTCCTTACCTGAGCATCATTCCACCACGTTCCTGTTTCGGGCGTGGTATAGCGACGGCCGCCTGCGTCAGGGTCCTCATCTACACGCGCCTTGAGCTTGAAGCCGGGCGCGTTGTTGGGATGTCCAAACATTTCAGCGAATGCCTGGTGTACGGTGGCGAAAGCAGGTGAGAGGAGAGGCATGGTTCGTGGCGGAGAAGCAGGGTGTACGGTTAATACAAGGATAACTAAGTACATGCAAACCCTGTGTGCCTCATCATCATTTCACGGCCTTGAATGCAAAGTCGGCTTACCTGGGCTGAGTTCTGGAAGAGCAAGCGCTGTGGTGGATGACCGTCGATCTCGAAGGTCGCCACCGACCATCCGCGATTGAGCCCTGCCAAGCGCTCCAACTCGAACCGCTCCAGATCCTTACAGTTCCGGAGCTCCGAGTTCACAAGAGGCGCAAGGCCGGGCTCTACGACTAGCTGAAGCAGGCCGTTGATGTCAACCTCGGCCATTCCCATTCCGCCATTCACGCGCCGGACGAAATGCAGTAGCTTCAACGCGAGCGGATTGAGGGGCATGTCATTGCTCTGTCCGGAGATGACGGTTGGCGGCGCGGCATGACTCCCTTCGGGCCGGCTCTCGGGATGGTCAGTCGTCTCAGCCGCAGGAGCTCCATGCCGTGGTTGATGTTCATCTTCAGGAGGCCCCTCGTTCACGTCGTTGGGAGTTTCGTGAACGTGAGCATCAGGAACGCGTGGAGGTCGGCTCACACTGACGGCGTTGGATGCGTTAGACTCTGTAGGTGAGCCGGGAGCGGCTGGAGCGTCCGACAGAATGTCGTGGACGAATAGCAAAGCGTGAAGACCGGCGGTCGGTGCAGATCGCGTGGGCCTCGCCACGGCGGATAGTCCTTGGCAAGGGGTCCGCCGTGACTTATGACCGCCATAAACTTGGGCGTTGGGGAACCATCTGTTGCAGAACTCGCAAACGACGCCTCGTAAAGAGCCCATCAATTACGGATCCGTTGTAGAGTCGAGACATGGCCTATGAAGCTACTCGTCGTGATGAAGCTTGTGAACGCATTAACTACCCCGTTCAAGAAGTCTGTGACAGCTACACGAGCATCGCCAATGCGCGCACTGTGGTGGGCGGCTTGTATCACTGCACGACTGGCACTTGACGCACGCGCTAATGTATATGACTGGCTAACGTTGTCGAGCCGCGTGGTCGTTACCAGGCACGATACAGACCGCCCATAGCACGGGCCGTCTTCCCTACAAGGCGTGTCGCCCCCGTTTACAGCGACCACGACGGGGCCAGGGGAGATGCACTGGATCTTAAGTTTCATGGTCGTGTGTGTGATTCGCAAGCAAGGCGAGAAGGACGTGCCTATTGAGTCAAGAACAAGTGTTTATGAACTGTGCGTGAGTCGAGGAGGATGAGCAAGAGCGGGAAGAGATCCGTTTGGATCTCTGATTGTGTCGCGAATCGATATAGCCTCAAAATCGGAATTACGTAGGTGAGCTACAAGGGCGTCAAACAAACCTGGAAATGCATATGTACAGTTACAACTTAACAAGAAACTCGTATCATTCATAAATAGTAAACATTCATATCCTTGGGACTGTTCCTGAACAATCCTTACTCGATAACGATACGGGAACTACCCGGTAACTCCATGCCGTAACGTATGATTGGTGCTTGGAGCAAATACATATATCGTGCCGCACCGTGAAGAACGAATATCCAAGAATGGATGGCTGTCGGTAACGCATCCACGCTTGTGCGTTGGGCCTGTGCCTCATACCACTCCTTCTAAGCACCTTGTGTAATGTCTGTGCAAGAATGGATGACAATCCAACACCAAACCACAACGGATTCACCAAGTCGCGCAACGCGGAGGCCTGAACGATGCATCGTCGCACAGTCTAAACATGGCTGTCGATAACGCATCTACGCTTGTGCGTTGGGCCTGCGCTTCATACCACTCCTTCTAAGCACCTTGTGTAATGTCTGTGCAAGAATGGATGACAATCCAACACCAAACCACAACGGATTCACCAAGTCGCGCAACGCGGAGGCCTGAACGATGCATCGTCGCACAGTCTAAACATGGCTGTCGATAACACATCTACGCTTGTGCGTTGGGCCTGCGCTTCATACCACTCCTTCTAAGCACCTTGTGTAATGTCTGTGCAAGAATGGATGACAATCCAACGCCAAACCACAACGGATTCACCAAGTCGCGCAACGCGGAGGCCTGAACGATGCATCGTCGCACAGTCTAAACATGGCTGTCAATAACGCATCTACGCTTGTGCGTTGGGCCTGCGCTTCATACCACTCCTTCTAAGCACCTTGTGTAATGTCTGTGCAAGAATGGATGACAATCCAACACCAAACCACAACGGATTCACCAAGTCGCGCAACGCGGAGGCCTGAACGATGCATCGTCGCACAGTCTAAACATGGCTGTCGATAACGCATCTACGCTTGTGCGTTGGGCCTGCGCTTCATACCACTCCTTCTAAGCACCTTGTGTAATGTCTGTGCAAGAATGGATGACAATCCAACACCATACCACAACGGATTCACGTTTGTCATTATTGATAATCGTGTTAGAATGACGTCCGCTGGCCCTAAACCATTGTGGCAATGCCTAAAAGTGCGCAGTACATCTTTCCTAAGTAATAATTCAAGACGGTCGTTGTGTGTGTGACGTGAGAATCACGGATTAACTTACCCCAATCCTGTACAAAACCAGTTGCAACTTAGAGTTTGATGAAATGCGTTGTTACTTTGCAACCGAAAACACTGTACTTTGCAGGGATTTGACTAATTTCGCACTGTAGGTTTCACACCAGGTTACCCTTTGTTGTGATTGATGCGTTCGCAACCGTCATTGGCCGACGCATCTCAAACGATTCCTATCAGCCAAGAGGTACTTCAGCCATTCGGCGGCTGAGATCGAGCGGAAGGTGGGTTTATGCTAGGGTGGCTACACGTACACCGTCCAATGTAGCCTGATAGGGTTACATTTCTCTCTCTAGTCTCGCAACTCACCCCAACCACCCTCGTGCCCCACCCACCTGCTTCCGTCACTCCCTGGGCCAACACTTTGATGCTGCTCGTTGCCTTGACACCCGCCACTCCAGATCGGCCTTAGCGCGAAGCATAGTGGCTACTATTTCAGACTTAGTTGAAGCGGCTGTTTTCGTAAACACATAACAGTGATAGACGGCCGATTATGCCTTCGTGGGATTCAGTGGCAAAACCATTTCGAAACCGGCTCAACCCTTCCGCGCGATTTGCAACTTTGCTCTTCCTACGATTACCATGACACGTGCAACACGTAACCAAGCAATGGAGGAGGAACAGGCCGGCCGCCGCGCGACAAGGGGGACGTCTAAACAAATCGATAGGGAGAGTGGTGGCGGCGCAAAAAAAATCAATGCGTCCGTCGCTCGTGGCATTGGGCCGAAAAAAGCGGCGGCAAAAATGGTCGCGCGCGGTCAACAGGAGGCCGGCAAGAAAGCGGCAGACAAGGGGCCTAAACCAACGCCACGCAAGCGTGTTTCTACAGTGAACAAAGCTGCGGATGGTGCCTCTGCTGGAACCGAGCCCGGTCCGAGTAAAGACGGCACCACTGGCGGCAACGAAGATCCGGGGCGAGGGAGCGCGAGTCTTGCACTCCCGTCGGCGGAGATGGAGGGTTCGGCGACAGGGGGAAATCACGGAGGCGATCCTCGCGCCGAGCATGCCGCAACCAAGGAGTCCGAGGAGGCGGCAACGCAACACCATCTGACGCTGCTCCACCCGAGCGTGGTCGAAGTTTCTGCAGCCGTGCTGGATAAGGACAAGGTGGCACAGCACGAGTCGGTGGGGCTGGTCGGTGGCTCTCCTCCTTCTGGTGGACGGGGAAGGCGTAGGCAAAGGAAGAGCGATGGGGAGGAGGATGATGACACCGCCTGTGCCCGGGGACCTCACCACGCGGGCGAAGAGGCGCCATACGACAGGTAGTGCTGACAACGCCGGAGGCGCGGAAGTTGACACACCGCGAGGCGCTAAGGAAGCTAGTGGCAAGGCGGGCGGTCAAGCATTGCGCCAGAAGGGCCGCCACGCAGCAAGAAAAGCATCTGGCGGAAGGAGAGGCAAGAAAGCAGCGACAGGAACGAGGCCGAAACGGGGCGATGAAGACCCCGGTGATACGGAGGAGGAGGAGGATGAGGAGGAGGATGCGGAGGGAGAGGAGGATGAAGAGGAAGCGGAGGAGCAAGACGCGGATGTTGGGGAGGATGCTAAAGATGAGAATGATGGCGGGGAGGACGAAGAGGAGGAGGAGGAGGAGGAGGAGGAGGAGGAGGAGGAGGAGGAGGAGGAGGAGGAGGAGGAGGAGGAGGGGGGGATGAGGAGGAGTTCCAGGGTGACGAGGAGGAGGAGGAGGAGGAGGAGGAGGAGGAGGAGGAGGAGGAGGAGGAGGAGGCATCAGAGAAGGAGGAGGAGGAGGAGGAGGAGGAGGAGGAGGAGGAGGAGGAGGAGGAGGAGGAGGAGGAGGATGTGGCGCCAGGGAAGAGACGGGGCGGGCGTGGCGGTCGGGTGAGTGGGACAGGGAAGGAGGGGGGCCGGACTCGCCCTTCCCGAAAACGCGGGGCAGGTGACGCTGCGCGCGGCGAAGCAGCGGGCAAACCGAAGGCGCGTAAGGTGAAGGTCGAAAGTGAAGGGGTTGGTAAAAAGCAAGGGAGCCAGGGTGCAAAAGGGGATGGAGGAGGAAAGGGTGGCCGCGCCAAAGGGGTTCGAGTGGGTACCGGCAAGAAGGAACCTGCCGGTAAACGTCGCAGCGTGCGCCGAAGCACCCCGCGGAAAGGTGGCAACGAGAAGGCGCAGGCTCCCACAAAACCGAAGGGACAACAGAAAGGTGAGCATTGTGTCCAATACAACTGCCGTGACGTGTTAAACAATCTGCTAAACCGTCCCAAATAACACCCTTTATTCACATTGTTTCTCTCCTGCAGGGAAGGAGAAGGTCGACGAATCTGCCAAGCAAGGTAAACCCTCTTGTCACAAACCAGTACAACCCTAAACCCGATCTAGATTCAAACCTTTCTGAATATGCATGCATGTCTGGCCCCGCATTGAAACCGATCGACTCTAATTTTTATTTTCCCACTCCCTCTTCATCTCAGCCCCTCGCGTTACAGGCATTGGGCCGCCCGTAAGCGTGCAACGAATGCATCTAACGAAGGCTGCCGGAAGAGCGAGTGTTACACCGCTCTCGTCCGGCGCACCAAGGTTCTACACGCCATGGGCCGGCCCCAGCAAAGTCGCTGCGACGGCACCCGGCGCGCCAAGAGGAGAGGAATCCGAATCCCCTCCACCCGTCACCGTCCCGCACTCCTCACTCGCCTCACCCTCAAACCCATTTCGGCAACTCCACGCTTCTCCTGTCCGGGGCAGGGCGGTCTCCCCCATCGCCGGTCCTTCGCGCGGGCATCAGGCAGGCACTTATGCCAATCCCTTCCCTGAGCTCCCCTTTTCCCGCCAGCGTGATAGTGTAAGGGCACACGGGACTGCTGCAGAAGACGTTGATACCCTTGGCCAGAGGGGGGATTCTTCACACCCTTTTCCTCCGCTCATGGGTGCCCTAGGTGAAAGTGAGGAGCACGAGCAGTTTGTTACACGGGAGGAGTTCCAGGCGCTGCGGTCTGAGATGTACGCCATGTTTGCACAGCTCGGCCTGCGTCGTGGAGTACCTGCCAGCTATGCCGGCGGGTCGGCAGCCCTGCCTATGGCTGGTACCCCGCCGCCGATGAGCGCCGTGGACAAGGCACGAGTGCTGGTGTTGCAGGAGACAAACCCATTCCCGGTATGTGGCGGGCCAAATGGGGCGGGTTGGGGTTGACGTGGCAACAAGGGCGGGGTTGGGGCTGACGTGGCGGGTTCGAAGGGAACACGGGAGCGGCGCGTGACGAGGCGACGCGTATCGGGTGGGTGGGGGGTGACGTGGCATGGGGTGGGTGGGTGTGACGTGGCAAGTGGGGCGGGTTGTTGGTGAACGTGGCGGATGCAAGTGCGTGTGACATGGCAAAAGGTGAGGGTTGGGATATGACGTGGCGGTGTGAAAGGGTGCAAGGGAGTGCCGCATGACGGAGCGAGGCGTTTCAGGTGGGTGGGGGGTGACGTGGCTCTTGGTGGGGGGGGTGACGTGGCTCTTGGTGGGGGGTGTGACGTGGCAAGTAGGGCGGGTTGTTGGCAGATGCAAAAGGGTGTGGCGTGGCAGAATGGGAGGGTTGGGGCTGTCGTGGTGGTTTGGAATGGTACACAGGAGCCGCGCGTAACGAGGCGACGCGTGAGGGGTGGGTGGGGGGTGACGTGGCATGGGGTGGGAGGGTGTGACGTGGCACGTGGGGCTGGTTGTTGGTGGACGTGGCGGATGCAGGAGGGTGTGACGTGGCACGTGGGGCTGGTTGGTGGACGTGGCGGATGCAGGAGGGTGTGACGTGGCGGAAGGTGAGGGTTGGGGATGACGTGGCGGATGCAGGTGGGTGTGACGTGGGGGAAGGTGAGGGTTGGGGATGACGTGGCACCCTACAAGGGTACACGTGAGCGGCGCATGACGAAGCGAGGCGTTTCAGGTGGGTGGGGGGTGACGTCGCTCTTGGTGGGGGTGTGACGTGGCAAGTAGGGCGGGTTGTTGGCGGATGCAAAAGGGTGTGACGTGGCAGCATGTGAGGGTTGGGGCTGACGTGGCGGTTTGGAATGGTACACAGGAGCGGCCACTGACGAGGCGACGCGTGTCAGGTGGGTGGGGGGGTGACGTGGCATGGGATGGGAGGGTGTGACGTGGCACGTAGGGCTGGTTGTTGGTGGACGTGGCGGATGCAGGAGGGTGTGATGTGGCACGTGGGGCTGGTTGGTGGACGTGGCGGATGCAGGAGGGTCTGACGTGGCGAAAGGTGAGGGTTGGGGATGACGTGGCGGATGCAGGTGGGTGTGACGTGGCAGCATGTGAGGGTTGGGGATGACGTGGCGGTTAGAAAAGGTACACGTGACAACTGCGCATGACGAAGCGAGGCGTGTCAGGTGGGTGGGGGGTGACGTGGCTTGTGGTAGGGAGGTGTGACGTGGCAGAATGGGCCGGGTTGTTGGTGGACGTGTCGGATGGCGCAGGGTGTGACGTGGCAAGTTCACACAGTGTTGCTAGTCACAATCCCATGGTCACGCGGCCACCCACATAACTGCATTGCTCTCTCTCCCATGTCGTGTTGTATACCTTACACCACTGCGCAGAGCAAAGCCTACTTAGTGTGCTCTCAGCTCATGTTTCTGAACCCGCCGGAGAAAATACAGTACTACCCTGCACCGGAGGAAGTGTTCGAAGCGTTCTCTGTCCACTTGTCTGCAGAAGGGCTCGAGGCAATGAAGCTGCTGTGGTTGCACAATGACAAGTCAACCATGGGAGTCTTCAACCACCAGCTGTCCTCAACAAGGTCAACTATCAACTCCACCCTCAGGCCAGCAGCATACACCGGCATGGGCCTTGCTGATTACCGCCATCTCGTGGATAGCCTGCCCACTGAGCTACACCCAACGACCTGGTTCGATGACGATCAACTCCTAGCCGAGTACAGAGATGGTATGTGCAACTCGAAAACACAATATGCCCTACCATATGCCAGTTGGCAGCTACATATCACCGTGCGATGTGGCTCACCCTAACACTCATCCCCCCACTTGATTTCTCTACAAAACACTTTCCAACCCATACCCTCCCTGCCAAAAAACAGAACAATGGGCCCTCAACTGGCACTTTGACAAGGCCACCGGGACGCCCTTCAGCAACCCCTTGTTCGCTTATGCGTTCAAGATCTCCTTCAAGAGGGGCGGGGCGGTGTTCACCAAGTTCAAGAGCCGCATGGTGGCATGGGGCCTGTTTTCGGTAAGGATGTAGATATGTGTTTGTACCCCCATGCCTCATCCCCTTAACCCCTTGCCTGTACTTCAACCCTAATCCCTGGTCGATTAGGCCTTTGCAGTTACGTAGATAGTGACGACTGCATCACCGCTTTCAGTTGCGTCATGTACCCGTAACCTACCCTCCTCATAAACCACCCACCCAACCCTACTACACCACATTGCAGATCGAATGGCCCCTTCTGCAGGATAAGCGTCGCAAGCGAATCAGTAGCCAGCCAGAGCAGAACAGGCCAGACTACCAGGAGTGGTGCGAAAAGGTCAAACAGATGATCCATTTTGCTGTCGTGGAGCGGAGGATCCCCCACGATCCGGCTATGGGTGCGTTCGTCTTTCCGAACAAGTTCCTCATCGACGACGGCGACCTTGGAGATGTCGTCCTTGCCCACCGGGCGCTTTCAAGGCCCGCCAATGCGTAGGCTATTTGACCTGGTGCTAAGACTGATTGTTGCTAGCATGCTGAATAATGGTTCTTGTAAACCGCAATAATAAATGCAATTTTGAAATCCCCAAAATCCAAAATGAACAAAAACAGAATTTAGTATTGAATAAATTGGTCACGAATTTGCAACAAAACGGATTGCGTCTGAATGTCATCCGCAAAAGCTCGCGTGCCAAATTGGAACTTGAACCGAGCCAAGCCTTGTCGCGAGATGTGTCTCGGAGCTCCTATCAAATGACTCCAACCGTCGGTCCAAATTGGCTACGGATTTTTTTACGCGAAGACAATCGAAATCAAAATTCGACCAAACTTGGCATAGGGTTTTTGTGATGGAGAGGAGACATGGCCACAACAACCCAAATGTCACTCTTAATCTAAGGTACTCCCTGAGTTTGGAGATGGCATTAGCAGTTTCATTCCTGTCTATAGTAAATCCCTTTTGTCAGTCAGAACTAATCACACAATTAGCCCAAACGGGTTCAGGCCAAGCACCAGCAGAGCTGTCAAGACCCAAGCCATGAACTGCCCACTGTAACCCTGCTACACCCTCTCAATTCGAAGCCATTACAAGATCCAAAGTGTTCCCAAACACCCTTTTCTCCTCCACCTCCCAGCCAACCCCACTAAGGAAAATAGCTCCCGGCGAGGCCAGCTCTCCTCAGCTTCTTCCTCTCAATCAAACCTTCGATGGTCGTATCCACCATATCTACAAACTTACCCTCCTCTCCCACCTCCCCCTCTCTCGTATGATCCCTTATAAGCAGCCTTGGGATGTGCCTATAAAGCTCTTCCCTCATCTCCTTTTTTCTCTCCTCCGATATTCCCCCCAGCACCTCTCCAATCCGAACCTTTCTGCCAATCACATCATCCGAATCAACCATCACTGACACGTTCCTCCGAGCCTCAGGTCCGGGAGCGAAGAACCAGAAGTACTGTAGATCGAACGTGCCTGGAGTAAACACCACAGGGATGCACCCAGATATGATCGAGTCAAAGAATGACCGTCTAGTGAGGCTATCCCCGAGAGGTTGCAGGCAAAACTCGGACTGGAGCATCACACCAGCCACTCTCCTGGGATTCATGCATCCCCTCAGGGGGAAATCTGGCTCACTCTCATTCTCCTCCTCATTCTCCTCCTCTTTTCCCTCCCTGCCGTTTTCCTCCTCCTTCCGTTTCTGCGCCTGCCTGCCTATCTCCACCGCTGCTGCTGTCGCGGCCTCCGCATCAGCAACAGTACACTCTAAGAAGATGCACCTCTTAGGATCGTTCTCACACTCGTTCAGCAAGACGCCTCTTAGCGAGCCCTCCCAGGTCGCATGCGCTCGCTTCCCGCCTACAAATGAGTACAGGTACGGTCGAGGCTGCTCCCGAACATGCCGAGCCCACCCCTCCAGCTCGGCCGAGCCTACAGGATGGAAACACGTCGTGTATGGAACAGAAAAGACCTCCCGTTCGAGCCACTCCGTAGGAGCCTCCACTGTAAGAAGTGTGACATTATTGAAGGTGGATCGCCACCATAGATCAGTCCCCCACCCGTCAGGCTTATCCAGTACGCGAATGAAGTCCCAGATCGGACGGCCGAGAACGAGCACGTGGTCGCCTCGATTCACGAGCCTCTTAAAATCCGCATTATTTAGCAAAAACCTCTCAAGTTCAGCCACGGGTTCGTCTCGCTTTACAAAGAGCCCGTGTTCCACGAGCGACCAGATCATCCAACCTAGGTACGCCGGGATGAACAATAAATCTGCCGAGTCTGGGTCGGAGGTTCAGCAGGTGTAACAACCACGGCCCTTATAACAATGGGCAACCGTGTGTTAAATATAAATCACCCTTGACAATATTTATAAGATTACAATACAAGGCTTCCAAGTTTAACTAATCCCACCAAGGGATAATCTAGCCTTGATGGCACTCTTCAAGCTTGAGAGGAAAAGGAGAGCTTGAAGAAGATTGATGAAGCTTGAGTAATGTGGTAGCTTCTTGTAGAGCTTATCCTTGAAAATAACACAAGTTTAGTTGTGTAGGAGAATTTGTTAGGAGAACCCAAAATGACTTAGAGAAATCCCATTTCCAAGTTGGTAAGTTGGAGTTGGGAAGTGGGAATGAGCTTGAAAGCTTCAACCCCTTCCACAATACCCCTTGGGGCTTTTCCCAACCATGGCTTCCATGGTTGGGGAGCTAATAGGCTTGGAGCCTAGGTGGCAATTTAGTTTGGTTGGGAAAAACCCAACTTAGCACAATTGTATGGTTGTTTTAAGTTTGTGTGGATTGTAACAACATCTGGCAAATTCTGATTGGTTGGAAATCCAACCATTCAATCTTCACACTTGTTGGGTTGGAAGTTTCCAAGCCTCAAGGTTGAGGTTTGGAACAACCCAACCAACCTTCCCCTCCAACTCAACCTTCCCTATGCTCCTCGAGTCATTTCTCATCGACCAATTTCTCGATGTTGACTTAGGAAGCTAGCGGTAGGTTTAGGTAGAGTA